AGAAGAAATGGCTCCTAGACTCTCAAGGAAGAAGAACACAGCAATGGAATAGTGCCAAGGTGCACTCAGCCACCAAGTCACGTATAGAATTCTGATCATAAGGTTTTGTGCCCATAATGGGAGTATTTATAGCCCAAACACACTTAAACACACAGTATTAACTTTAATTGTTACGCTTAGGATTTTAATCCCAAACTTTGGATTATGAAACTACATAATTTTATAAGATTTATCATATTTTTCTTATATTTTTCTGAGCACCTTTCTGGTACGCGTTTTTCAAAGTCAGTATGTACCGGTTTCTAGCACCAGTTCTCATTATTTGGACTTGAAACTCGTTTTACAAGTCCTACATATTATTCTAGTAATTATCATGCACTTACTTTAATTTTCCGGGTTACTTTTTCGGCACGCATTTATACAGACTAACAGAACCGGTATCTGCACTTTTCTTCCGAAAAGCGACTTTCAGCATTCTTAATCACTTACCATAAATATTAAAGCCTCTTAATAATTATTAGGGTCAATTATGAAATCATTTCCTAATTTTGCATAATTAATTAATTAAATACCTTAATTAACGGTGCAGGTTCTTACAATTAGCACATTACATGTCATCAGCAGGATTTCTTGCTTGTCACTTGGATTTATCCCAAAGAGAACAACAAATGAATCTTGTGTTAATCACTATAAATAACTTTTTAACCAAATGTATTACTTCTTGAAATGAAATAACTTAATGGAGAAATAAATGTGTTCAAATTAGGGAATCCACAAAAAATGGAAGGTCGCCACCTACTACATCACAAAAAGAAAAAAAAAAAAGGAACATCTATTTATTGGAAATAGTTGAAATAACATATTCAAGTATATTCGTTTTACATGTTCAAATCAAAACAACGAAAATTTTATTCTTATATTCATCTTTAAAAGAAAAAAAATGAAAGTATATTTTTTTTCTAGCAAATTGTCTTACTTCTATAAAGCAGCAAGGAGATTGCAAACCCGGTGTATATAGTTCTCTAATCACAGACTCAAATCCATAATCTTCTTGTCACAATAAATATATGTGTGTGTGTGGCTAACTTAGAGAGCTAGAAGCCAAACATAAGTTATAAATGGAAATTGAAGAATTAAAAGGGAAATTGCAAGTTATGAACCATCTCATGACTAAGACATTCAAGAAAAGGCCTACCTTCAAATCTCAAAAATGTACAAGGAGTTGTTTCAAAAAAAAAAAACATGTACAAGGAGTTAATGCCGTGCTGCTTATTCATTGAGCATTGGCATCAAATGGTCCATTTGAAAAAGGAGTGTGATTGCCATTAATATTGCGGTTGAAAAAATGATCACAACATTAATTACACTGGTAAGAATTAAAGGGAACATAATTAATTTTTATGCATATAGTCTCTCACTTCTTTAGTTTTTTTTTAAAGGATAGATATATTTAATATCAAAAAAATTTATCACTTTTACAACCAACTTAATTACCTTTGATTTTCGTCAATTTAACGGTTATAATTTATTGAAAATTAATAATTAATTAATAAATATGACCCAATAAATATTATTAATTCCCAATAAATTATAATCATTAAATTTGTGAAAATTAATGGTGATTAAGTTGGTTGTAAGAGTGTGGAAACTTTTCTGATGATAAGTGGATTCGTTCCCTTTTAAAAAACAATGCATTATTCAAAAATAGACCACACCAAGTTTACAATATGATGGTTGCAAGTCCAACACAAAAAATAAAAGAGAAAAATATTTATTCTTTTAAAAGATATATAATTATATCATTTTAAGTGAAAGAAAGATACTGATACTAATAGAAAGATCTGAACTGTAATAGAGTTAATTGTTCTGTTGATAATTACCTTTTCAGTAAATTGCCATCTTGTTATAATATACAGAAAATTTAGAAAATCTTTTTTCTGGGCCAAAATTCCTTGTTCTTGCTTTTCTGAAAACGCGGTCAATGTGTTTACCCTAGTCTTTTACCCACCTACCTCTAAATCCCAAACAAATGATCTATTTAAGCCATTAGGTTAGGTCTAATTATGAGAAATTTAAATAATTTGTATTAGGTTATATATTGAATTCTCACTCGTATAAAAAGTAATAATCTATTTGAAAAAGTAGTTAATGTTATTAATGCTACATTATGTTAAACTTCACACGAGGAAATCCGATGGTCAGTTTGAAAAAGTGATCAACAACATTAATTTCATACATAACACGCTTAGGATTAGGTTTATTTTGGGGGCCCAGCACTGAAACTATACTTGAGGATGCATATTTGTTGCTCAACAATGATCTTTGATAGGCACAATTAAACCTTGAGAATGGTTTGAAGGGCGATGAAATATAACCACCATATAAAAATTTATAATCTTTTAATATTTGTTAATAATTTTATTCTCTTAATATTTTTATATTTTTATATTTTTAATTAATTATAATTCTGTTGTGAATAGTGAATTATAATAATAAGGAAAGAATCTGAAAAATTATGAAGAATCTATGTTAGTTTCCCAATTTTTTCCCAAATATTCTCCTCTCCTGATTGTCTCTTTCTCTTTCTTAATCAATTTCCCTTCTTCCTCTCTTTTCCCTCCTTATCCATAATCAATTCAAAATAACCACTACATATAACCTCTTGAAAGATTGAACTTCTTGCATGAGTATTACAATATTCGTGCCTTTAAATATTTAGAACGATGCCAACTGGCCCACTAGATCAATCTTAGTTAAATTACCTAAATCCCTCACCACTAGATCAATTTTAGTGATTCACATCTTTGTAATACTTTAGTATCATATTTTGAATATTACGCTTTCAGGAAAAAAAAAACAAAAAAGGCAATATTCTTGCAATTACTAAAGTTATAAATATTAGATAAGGAACTTGAGGAAAAAATTATGGCCGCTTACTGTCCGTCTGATTTTATTTTTTTCAGAATAAAATGGAAAATAAGATATTGATTATGTAAAAAAATTAAAACAGGTTCATTTAAATAAAATTAAAATTGAATAGTTAAATTACTTAACCATGTTTCATTTTTTATACATCCATATGATAATTGTATAGATTTTTAAGTGCAATTTTAACACATCTCACTCCTTTAATTGATAAACTTTTAAATTGAGGCCTTTAATTGGTTTTGAACTAAAAGGTTGAGTTATTCTCCCAAAAAAAAAGAAAAAAACTAAAAGGTTGAGTTCCTCTAATTATAATTTTTCTCGCACATGCACATGTGAAGAATTTTCTTTCTTTTCTTTTCTTTTTTAATTTTTTTGGGTATAAGAGTTAGCATTTGTTAATGGGGAAGGCGGATTTACATGAAGTGAAGAGTCATGTAACAGTAAACCATAACCCCCTCCCAAAATAAAAAAATAAAATAAAATCAAGTACTGGAGAGTCAGGTTATCACGTGAGTTATTGCACAAGTTGCTAAAACAATAATATCTTAAGAGTTCAATTTTTCTCCAACTATTTTACGTGCAACAATTATAAATTTTTCATATATATAAGTTAAAGTATTAAATATGAAAAATTATAACCATACAAAAAGTAAAAATATTAAATGTGAAGAATCATAACCATATATCTGTCATTGCTGCACATACAACAACTTTAAATATGATTTTACCATATTTTAAATAACAAAGAAAAACACAATATATATATGGGAAATAACATCTGTCATTTTAAAAGATATAAGCTTATACCATTTTAGATCTTAACCGTTGATTTTCGTCCATCAACGGTTATAATTTAATGAATTAAAATTATTAATTAATAATAAATTTGTCCCATTAAGTTTGACCCAATAGATTATAACCGTTATGGACGAAAATCAGCGGTTAAAATTTAAAATGATATAAACTTATATCCTTTAAAAGAATAGATGTTTTTCACATATATATGAGTTAGGATCATTTTACACCTGTGTAAGTTATATTTTAATCTTGATCGTTGATTCTATTTATATTTAACGGATCTGATTTATTAGATATTTGAGTTGTTAGATACAAGTAAATCAATGATCAAAATTTAGTGCAAGACTCCTTATTCTTACACCGGTTTAAGAATATCTTGCCTATTAACTAGGATCCTTTGACACCAGTGTCAAATTTCAATTTTGACACCTTATCTGAAAGCCATTAGATCACAAAAGATCAACGACTCTGATTTGTAACCATGTGACACTATTGATTTTTTGTGATCTAATGGCTCTCAGATGAAATGTCAAAATTAAAATTTGACACTGGTGTCAAATCCTTGCCTATATAAATATATATATATATATATATATATATATATATATATATATATATATATGAGGTTTACATTTCTACAGCTGTTGTACGTGCAACAATCAAATACTTGCCATATATATACTTGAAATCATTAAATGCAAGGAATCATAACCATACAAAGGATGGAAGCATTAAATGTGAAAAATCATAACCATATACTTGTCGTTGTTGTACGTAAAGCGGCTGCAGAAATAATTTTACCTATATATATATATATATATATATATATATATATAAAGAAGAGAGGAAATATTAAACTCACATATATATATATATATATATATATATATATATATATATATATATAGTAAAGGATAAAAACTTTATGATAAAAAACTATGAGAAATACTTTTTTATGTTGTAGGAAAGAAGTTACCTCATGTTGTAGAAATAAAATTATATGTGGGACCCACATATAAGAGGAAAGAGAAAAAAAGAGTGGTAAAATCCACCCCTCTTTTGTATGTATAGAAAAATTGTTTATCTCATATAAAATAAGATAAATATAACCCATAAACTATAGACACGATCAAAGCATCTACCATTAACTATGCACATTTTGCCAAAAGAAAATAGAACAATATGAATTCAAGTACAATTCTACAAGCATGGTCGCCTCACCTCGAATATAATTACTTTAAACGAGTAATTTTTTTTCAAACAGCAGGATTGAATTGGTTTTGAGTGACTAAGAAAGGAAATGAATCTGTTCACTTCTCCTTATAGTCCTCTGAATCAATATTTTTATTTTTATTTAAGTCAAGGTAACCTGCATGGACACACAGACGAACTCAAATGAGTAGTTTTCAACAACAATGGAGTAAAAAGACAATCCAAACTTTCTACGAACAAACGTCTTGAAAATCCAAGAAAATATTTATTAATTAAGAGAATATATTTTAAGATGAATAAGTTTTTAAGTTCTAGTTTATAAAGAACATTTTTAGATTTTACTTGTTAAAACTAATTATGCAATATTGATTGAAATTTTTATAAAAAAAAAAAATCTCTAGTTTCACTTCTAAAATCAAATTCCACAAACCCTCTGGTAAAGTTCAATATATGCTGTTTATCAAAAAAAAAAAAAGTTCAATATATGCTTTACACGTTTATAAGAATCAATTTTCATAAAAAAAATCCAATATACCAAGCTACTATTCAACATGATTTTGGAATATTATTAATTTTTTGGGAGATATATATATTATTTGCATAATTTTGACTTGAGTGTTGAGAAAGTCAAAGGATGTTTTCGATCTTAAAGGTTAAACCCTAATTTTTAAACATTAGGGCTAGTGCCAGTTGAGTTTTTTTTTTTTTTTTTTAAATATTTCAATCGGTTCATTGCTTCGCGACTAGTCTGATTTGGAACAGGTCCAAGATTAAGACTTTAAATCCCTCAAAGATGATACTAAAGAGAATCGAACACATATTCTCACCCCCCACCTACTCAACTCCCGCTAACTGAGCTACCACCATTTGGTGATCGTTGAGTATTTTGAACCTTTCTCAATCTTCAATGAGTATGTTAAAGGTATGTTTGGGAGTGAAAAACGGGAAAAAGAAAAAGAAGTGTATTAAAGATTAAGGTATAAGTTTTTTTTTTTCATTGTTTGGATTGTTAAAATCCTTTATGCTTTAAAATTTTATTAAAAATAAATAAAGAATGATTTATGGTCACAGAAATTAAAATAACCCCACTTATTCCTCACCTTATTTTAAAGAACTCCTAAATAAAAGTGATATTTACTTAAAACTTTTTTCATTTCCTTTTTTTTTTTACCAATACTTCTGTCTGAACATTGACCAAAATGTCACTATTCATCAAGTTTTTTACCCAAATGTCACGCGAACAGTGTTATTTCCTAATATGTCATGTGAACAAGTTCGCTGGGCACTATAGCGAACTCGATTTGCTTACGTGTCACGTTTCTAGTGGACACCAAGTACCAAGTTTGCTACTTGAGGTAGCGAACTTGGTTGGAATGCATAATTTTTATGTATTCCAACCATGGTGTCCACTAGAAATGTGACATGTCAGTAAACCGAGTTTGTTATAGTGCCCAGCTAACTTGCCCACATGTCATATTGAAAAATAACACTGTTCACATGACATTTGAATAAAAAAACTTGATGCACAGTGACATTTTGTTCACTGTTCCTACTTCCGTCCACACATAAGCCTTAGATGATGTATGGTTGAAGTAAACTAACCCCAACTTGAGAGATGTGTCACTATAATCCTCTTCAGGAAGATAAGATGAACTGCTAATAATGCATTCCAATTGTTGCCTTTGTCCATGTATAAGGCTCGGTACCTAAAATTTACATGTGTTCCATTATTATATATACTGAGAATTCCTCTATCTGGTAGATCATACACAACTATTAAACAGGCAACAGTATGAAAAGCCTATCACCTGTTTCAATTTTTGGTTTTCTTCCATCAGTTCCTCTGCCTGTATGAGCAATACAATGAAACATTATAGCAGAGAGAGGGTGTTAAGTCGAAAAGAAAGCAGCAGCAGGTTGAATCCTCTTAACATCAATTATATATGCAAAAATAAAATTCACTCTTTTGAGTATTATCTTTTCAATATCTCTTACATAAATTATCAGTGCCACGCACCGACTAATACCATTGGCCTAATTTCTTTCGTATCTTTTCTTATTGTTTAATCATATAACTTAAACTGATTGAAATAGAACAGATTATATACAAAATTAAACCCTTATGTGTTAAAAAAAAAATTAAAGAAACAATTCTCCTATAAGCTTTGGTGAAAGTGAAAGCACTTTTTATAGGTTTTATATTACATTATTCCTCCAAGAGCATTATACAATTCAAGTGTGAATAATTTACCGGCCAAGAACATCAAGAATTCATTCTTTTAGGGTTTGAAATAGATTTTTTTTCTTAGATTAAGGCCCATCACACCAAGAGCCATTCTTTTAGAGTTCTAAATATGGAAATTAAACTCTTAGGTGAAGATACATTATTAATTTTTATATTTATATTATGGGAAATAGAATTATAATGTTATGGGAAAGTTGTTAGGTTATGTTATAGAAATAGAGATTGTGGGACCCCATTGTTCTTTTTGTTTTTTGAAAACAAGTGTAGGTCCTAAAATCTCTCTCTATTACATAACCTAACAACTTTCCTACAATATTATACTTCTTTTTTTCTTATATTATACTTCTAACACATCCCATTATATAAGAGCCTGAAAAGTAGACAATATACAAACTTACCTATCCATACTAAGAATTTCTACAAAATTTATCACCAGATTATTAAATAAATGAGAGGCCACAAAGATTGAACTCAAGATCACTTGGATAATGTACAAGTCCCTTTTTTGGTTTGTTGTATGCAGGTTTTAACTTACTTTTTATTTTTTATTAGAAAATGGAGTGGTAAGGTTCAAACTCCTGACCATTTGGTTATAGACTATAATACCATGCAAAATACCAATTTTCTTTTTAAATCCAGGCCTACCACAGTAAGAGTTTTTTTTAGGGTTTGAAATATGAAATTAAACTTTTTATTTGAAGAATCGAGGCAATAAGAATCAAACCCTAGACCCGTTGGATTGTAGAAGCTCCTAATATTATGTAGGGAACCAATTCTTCTCAAAGCTTTCTTTTAGGTGAAAGCACCTTTTATTAGTTTTATGGGTTCGTTTTTTCTACGGTCAATATAGATAACTTATCTACGTTGAGCCCAATACGACGTCATTTTAAGACGGAAATCAAGGTATTTTTATAATTATAATTTATTTCCGAGTTATAATAGTTTTTTTATTATAATTTTTTAATTTTTCAACGCAAAACGACGTCGTTTTGGGAGCGAATGTAGATAACTTATCTACATTCACCGTAGAAACATTAAAGCCTAATTTTATACTATATAATTCATTAAAAAATAATATAATAAAAAATACATTCATACTTAAACTTTGGATTGAATTGTATCCAAAAAAAACTTTGGATTGAATTGTATCCAAAAAAAAAACTTTGGATTGAATTGATTCTTTATTTGGTATCAAAATCTGTCACCAAATGTTATCACTATTGTTGAACTTGAATATGTTTTCATGTTGATCATGAATGTTTACCACTCGTCAGTATGTTATAAGTTTATTATTTAATTTATTATATAAAATTAAAAAATGTATTTAATTATCATTCGTTCTACTGCTGCTATAGTTAAACTGCTAAACTTTGAATCAATATCTTCACAAATTCAATGACTAATCCAGTTTAAAAACATTGCTTTAGAAGAGTGAAAACATTTTTAATTCATCAAATTATTTTAATTAGGTTAATTATGATATTTTCACTTTGATCCCTATAATTTTATTAAGCAGCTTGTTACCAGATTCAATCTAGTTTCTCGCCAACATTCTTGAATAGCTATTGGAAATTCGGTGATGTAGAATACTTAACAATTCTTTTGCACAAAATTATGAGTTGTTATAGACCTTGCATCTAGAAATTTGCTTTCATATATTTAATCCTTTTGTAGGACTCAAATGACATGTATGTTGGAATTTTTCATGGACTACAATTAATTTTAGGATTTTGTTAATGAAAAATAAGACAACTATATGATCCAAATTTTAGGCAAGTATGACATGTTTAATATCATTACTGACCTATTTAATATGAGCTTCGTACATAAGTTGGGTTAAGCCTTTTAATGGCGTTTGAGTTACAAAAAATTCTGAGAAATTTGAATAATTCTCGAAGTTTTTTTTATGGAAAAACTATTCTGCAAAGATATTTGTCTGTCACATTCTTAGAAAACTGAGTGGGTTTTATCAAATTTTTCTCTCTCTTCTCTTCATAACGGGATCCACTCACTTTTATGTGAGTGTGACAGATAAAATATTTCTGCAGTAAAAGCAAAAAAGTTAAACCCTTTTTTATATATGAGTAATTACAAGATAAAATTTTGGAAGGTTGAGTTCGAAGGGGGACAAACTTATGTTAGGTTCCGTCCCTATTTCCACTATATAAATCTTTTGGCTTCATCATTGGTAGCCATCTATTGTTAAAGGAAGTTAAACCTAGTCCAGATGAGTTCACTTGATCATTTAATTGCCATTATCGCAATCATGATGTATACAGGAACACTTACCACTCATTTAATATTTTACATATTTTAGATATTTTGTTTTGTCATTCACATAACCATTTTAGTTATTCTAGACTTATATTACGAAGAAAACTTTCAAAACTACGGAATAATTGCTCTCAAGTCAAAGGATGAAACTCATTAGACCGTAAATTTATAAATTATAACAACAAATATATGAGATTTGAAATGTATCAGAGGTTTGGTTTAGCATTTACCTTTCTCTGAAGGGTGCTGATCTCTTGCATAGCATTTTCATCCTGAAAGACATATTACTATCCTATGTCAGAAGCATGAATACATTTCCACATAACCATAACTGATCATAATGAGAAGGTTGAAGTATTGAATGTATAGGTTATCAATTTAATCCCATGTGAGGAAATGACCTAAAATACTGTGAGCATAATAGGGCACAAACCTTTGCTTTTGAAACACAGGTCAAACCTCTTTTGAGTAGTTCCTCTAGTTTTTGTAGTTCTTGTAATGTCAATCCTTGCAGATCTTCCCCATTCAACTGCCTGTGTTAAAGATGGAAGCCAGTCTCTCAGTACACATAGTTTTGTGTGGTGCATGCACCTTAGGTACAAAAGTACTACTAGCTCTGCAGTGTATACCTCACTTCACGAGTATTATCTTCTACTTTCTTGCGCAGCGTGTCGTTAGAGTCCCTCTCAAGCTGTGCATAAATTTCCAAAACTAAAATTTTAACTTTAATGATTTCTATATACAAATTTTGTGACGGAGAAGGATATTCTTACACTGGTCTAAGAGTTAGAAGTCTTACACTCAATCTTGATCATTGATCTACTTATATCCAATGACTCACATTATTAAAAAATTAAAGCCCTTAGATATAATTGGGATCAACGGTTAATATTGAGAGTGTACCTTACACTGCTATAAAATGATCGTCACCCTTTTGTGATTAGGCAATCAATGTACAAGACATTTCATATATACAAATTTTGTAGTATTCCACGCTAAAGCCAACCCATGAGGTTATTTTTTTTGGTGTTTCTATTCCTAGAGACGTAAGGATATAGTAAATGCTATAGAAACATGTAATATTTTTCATTCATTGGCAATGCAATTACAAGAGACACTTCAATTTATATATACTAGAGCATATGAGATGATGAGATTTTGATAAAACAAAAAACTGGGATTATGATGTGAAATTCAATGCAAGCATGTAAGAACTGTTTGTTCAGTCATCAAATAGTCAGAGAAAAATAATCTGCAGAACCACTCTTCACCAGGTTCGTTTGTCAAAGAATATTCTGCATTTTTATTTCCAGGATCAAAAGGTATATCATGAATTCATCATTCAAACAACTAGAATAACAAGTATATGCTATTAACCTGCTGCTCAATAGATGGACGGTCCAATCTATGTATTGCTGAATGCCGATTAAGCCTTTCAATTACTTGTTCCACACTGAAAATAACAAACAAATTATATATATATTGAAATTACTCGTCTAATTTTCGGTTGAATTAATGTTGCTCATAAAATTAAAAACTTCATATTGTCATTGTATTGCTAATATTTAGGTGATCAAGAATATTGGGAATTATGTTTCTACTTTCCTTAAAGTGATAAAATCATGAAACTGTGGATCCTATTTAGTTGAAGGGAGATGAAAAAGGAATTGAAATAATCATATGTCTTTCCTATCTAAACCAAAAGAAATATGGAAATATGGAAATGTTGTTTGAATTATGTTTTGAAAAACAGTTTTTTTTATTTTCAAAACAAAAATACAAAAAAAAAAAAAAATCCATTTGATAAGGCATGCTTTGTAAAAATAATTCTAAAAATTATAATTGTTCTGTAGTTTTTCAAATCACATTAAGAGAACATGTATAAGTTGTTTTTGTTTTATGCTTTGACTTTTAATTTTCAAAAAAAACAAACACATAAAAACATGTTTCCATAATTATTCTACAAAACAATTTTAAGAACAAAAAAATCAAAACACAATCAAGCAAGCCCGTATATATTCCATTCCCATTCTATCAAAAGTCATTTTATCCAACCAAACATGTCACTATTGGTTAGGGCATCAAGCCTTCATTATATATTGCCTATAGATGACTATCGATTAAATGCCTCAGAGAATAGAAATGCTATAAAATGAAAGCATTATAAAGTATTTCAGGTATTCTGTGTGAAACACAAAAGTATGATACAATTCGGAAAATACCATCCATGATTTGATGAAAGCAGTCAATCCTATACAGCTATTGTGGAATTCTCAGATACTTTACCTTCTCTGATCAAGCTTCAACTAGTTCTTGTTACATGTCATTTCAAAAGAGATGGTCATGAATCAAACATTTCAAATGTTTAAACTTATTCTCTCATAAGATTACTTGCAACGTCGAACTTATTTAGACTTCAAATGTTTGCAACGTAAAAGTTTATAGTGAAGTTATTATACACACGTATTGCTCCTAACTAGCTTAAGAAAATGAGTAATTGCACAAATGTATCTGTACAAGAAGATTATATGTAGAATATCCATTTTGACAAATATTATGTTTTAAAGAGAAAGTTGTAAAGAGTGAAAACTTTGTTTGGGAAAATAACAATACTAATAAGTTAAAATCTCGATAAAAGAATTTGAAAAATATAAAAAAAAATGAAAATTTTAGCATACTTAGATAATGAACTCATTCCACCCAAAAAAAAAAAAAAAAAAGATAATGAACTCATATAGTCATAAGTTTCCTCAGTCATTAATATTTATAATAAGGCAAATCCATCTTTGATTTTTCTCTCTCTACCAATAAAAAAAGGAAACACATAGGAGCATATGTACTTGAATAATTAAGATGACACCAGGCACTTGCAAGTTGCAACTTCTAGTCTCAGAGTAAGTTTTCTTTTCTTCTGAATAGAAAGTATATTAAAAAAGAAAGGGAAGATGGTGATACTGCAATACCTTGAACTAGCATACTCAAAGAGCTTGCTAGTCGTAGAAAAGACAATGAGTGCTACATCTGCATCACAAAGGGTTGATAGCTCCTGAGCTTTCTTGAAAAGCCCTTTTCTCCTCTTAGAGAAAGTCACCTGTCTGGAACTTATGTTATCGATTTTCTTGATCTGTATCCTCTTTCTAGGCATTTCCTTCTCTATGTCAAAAATCATCCAAACCATTACATCTAAGAAAAAACAAAAAGAAAAAAAAAAAACTTTCTCCAGATAAATATATTATAAAAAGTAAATCCAATGGATTTAACATGAAATTGAGAAAGATCAGCTATTCTTTTAAAAATACCAATGTAGAATCATGGATCAAGACAAAACCATGTACGGCTAGATGGCTCTGGGGGAGAAACACTCATTCTGGAAGAAGCAACTAAAAACTTCATAATAAAATAAGCAGATAAACAATTAATTTTATTTAGTACGTACCTTGAACTGCACTAAACCTACAAATTTAAGTTTCTTTGATTAAGATAAATAATTTCTTTTGATATTGACTATGCTTCTATGGAAAGTAGAAAGTACAACGAGAAAGGCTGGAAGAAAAAAATAATAATAATAAAAAATAAAATAAAAACTAGTTTATTGAAATAGCAAAACAAACAGGTCTTCTTCACGAAGAACCTAAGACCAAAGAATCCTTACCTACCGGAAAATGGAAAATTTGCAGATAAAGCACTTCCAAGACGAAAAAAAAGTGAAAAATGAAGCTTACAAGAGAGAACCAATCCTTGCCTTCCAGAAATGGGAGATAGGAAAAAAATGATTCGCGAGACCCAAAGCCCTTTATGGCCAAGTTGGTGTTTGTGTACTACATTATAAATTTTTGTATTTTGTATTTTGTATTTTTTTTTTTAAATTATATGTTTAGTTTTTACTTTTTATGGTTAGAAAAGTAACATTTTGATTTTCCGGAAATGATATTTATTAATTTCGTGGTTTCCAATGTGCCTCGTTTATTAGTTTCCGTATAGTTGGCCATCATTCATGGTCCTTGGATAATGACAGAAGATGTACCCTCGTACTCACACACCGCGTTGCCCTCGTACTCCCTGCTTGCTCGCTCACAGTGGTCCCCCATAAGCAGGTTCTAAGGCTTTTAGCTAACAGCAAACCTTAGCCATATACTTTCATTATTATGCATTCATTTAACGGAGACTTCATTTTATGTTTTATTTTATGAAATGGGTATTTTTTTATATTTATTTTTTAAAATATAAAAAATACCAATTTTGTAAAATAAAACATAAATTATTTGATTCCGATGAGACAATATTGATAATTTTATATTTTATGAAATACATTTAATTTTCTAACGCATTTTATAGGACTGAAATTACTATATTTTATTAAAATTATTTTTTCTAAATCTAGCTAGCTTAAGTTTATTTTAACTTATAACTCCTGTTTTATGATTAATTTTTTATAAAATTTTAAATAAGAATAATTATGTTAAAATTATTTATTGTTAATGATTTCAATAATAATAAAACTTTTAAAATTTTAAATGATGATATTTAATTATAATAATTAAATTTGGACATTATGCATAAAAAGTTAACTTTCTTCGCTCTCTGAAGAACGATATTTATGTCATTTAATTTAAAAATTTATATATTAAATGATTAAATGACTTAGAAAGTTATTTCTTCGTTTTCTCCGTTTTATTATTTTTTGTTAGTACACTTTCATATATAAATGTAACTTCTTGTCAAATTTAGATCGAAATTCAAACAAATTTTCTTGTTCTCTATTTTTAAAATTTGTATTACAGAATATTTTTGAAGAACAAAAAAATCAAATCCAAACGGATCCACTAATTACAAAAAAAAATTGTATTACCAAAAAAAAAAAATTGTATTAGAAGTTTTTTACGCTAACATATTAATTCAAATACCGACCAATTTAAAATAAACACTCGTTAATTTAAAGTTTGCATACCATTGAAGTTAGAAAAATTCATAAGCACCATCTAGGCATCTATAATTCTTCTTTCCTTAATTTATTCATGTGAAATGAAAAGTTGGCCAATATAAATTGGAACAAAAGGAAAGAAAAATTGCAAGAGATCTACTATTCGCATTTTTTAGGTGCAGAAATACCTATTTCGTCTCTAAGAAGACACATCACACATCCAACCGGAGGAGAAGAAAAGTCCTGAAAATGCCATTTATGGTTATGTCCTCTTGTTGCTAGCTAGTCAGCAACCTGATTTTCCTCTCTCAACGTGTAAGTGACTACAACATGTCAATTCAATTGTAATAACTTCTGGATTCGAGTACGAAGGAATCAATCTCCAAGATTATCCTTTTAAAGCCCTTATTCCAGGTTAGCTGAAGGCCTAAAAGGACCTTGTGTGTTATAGATGAGAGAAGCACCTTGTGGCCAAGCCAAGCCATTAAACGTAGCTAGGAGTCGGAATAAGTCTATCATAAAGAGTCACGGGCAGGGAAGGGCCTGGCTTGGTAGTTGCCCTCCCTAAAGTTTGATATTTTTTTTTATTATATATATATATATTTATAAAAAAAAATTGTTTACAAACTCTTATAAACTATACTATATCTGATCGATCATACTTCAAGTAAAAGTGTATGACCGATCATACTTAATTGGTGTAATTTGTAAAATAAATTTGTAAACGGATCATTTCCCATAATAATAATAATAATAGTATTTCTATAACAATAATAGACTTTTAGTCCTCAGAGTTAGTCTCTCTCTCAAAGATATTTAAGATAATTAGTCTCCTTTATTAGTCTTAATAATATTTGAAATTTTAATATTTACTTTTAGGAATTAAAGTTTCTTATATTATATGAAATAATTTTATCTTCTATACACACAAAAGTATACGAGGGTATGTGAGGAGAAGAGATAAAAAGAGAAAAATTAGGCCATATACACTTTTAGTGTATATAGAAAATAATTTTATTTCCTAAAATATAAAAAACTTTAAACTCTTATTTTTACCCTTATTATAAAAAGATCTTTAGTCCACCGTTATAAAGAGTGACACCTCGGAAATGTTCATACTTTATACGGAATAGGATCTCAACTCGAGGATATGTAATAGAGAACTGGCTTATTTCAACTAAAGTTCAAACTTTTCTGGAGATTGTTATGTTAGACATTTTACTTTATGTGAGCAATATTAAGTAATTAATTTTATTTTTTAAAATTAATCGAGTTAATGGATATTTCAATTACCTATTATTTTGATTAACTCATTGTGATCATGTTGAGTTGGAATTATGTCATTTATGAGTATTAGGCCTAGTTAAGCAGCAGTGTAGACTTTAATGTAATCCTAATTTTTAATATCAAAGCAGTAACATTTTGGCTAAACAGAAAGAAAGAGTGAACACAAAAATTATGAAAAAATTATTTCTCTTTTCTTAATTTTATTTAACCAAAACAACCAAATAATAATAGGATTCTCAATGCCTTAAATAGGCGGAACAAAATAAAATGAAAATAAAACCCAAATAGAATCAAAGGGGATTATGCGCAATCAAAGAATATAACGTACACTCGATGCACACTCAAATAGAATCAAAGAAATAACGAAAATAATAAATAACTGATAATCATTAAAAAAAAACCCTAAAATATAGAATAATTATGGAAAGGCCCAAAACTATTTATGCCCATGGCAAAGTGACAGATCATGCTCAGAAGCCCATTTTGATTTGCCTGTCCAAATTTGAGTCCAATCCAAGTTAGTGCCCGAGTGCATCATCCTTCCCTACTAAAAGAAGATTCATCCTCGAATTTAACAGGTCATCTTGGTTACTCTCGACCGTATGCCCTCATCGTCATTATGATAAGGAGACAAGTCAACAACATTGATAGTACTAGAAATATTGTATTTCCCAAGAACTTCAATCTTGTAAGCATTGTTATTGATCTTCTTGAACACCCTGAACGGACCATTAGCTCTAGCTTGTAGTTTGTCAATCTTGTTAGGTGGAGAATATTCCTTCCTAAGGTGGATACACACCATATTGCCTTCCTTGAAAACAACTCGATTCATATGCCTGTGAGCTTGTTGCTTATATTTCACATTATGCTTATAATATGATCATGAACATGTGAATGTAACTCCTTTTGTACCTTAAGGCTCATCCTATATGACGTTTTGTTGAGAATAACAACTCCTAACACAAAGTAAATGCAGTATTGGATGTATCTCATAGGTGGCAGTCCATGTGACATCTCCTCAGGAACCACATTGGCAAAGTCTTCTACTAATGGCTTAACCTGCAAAGAAATGTTAGAAACACTAGAATTCTGTTCCATCATCATACAAGCAAATATCTCAATGGTATCGACAGATTCCTCTTGGAATATACTCTGGACATAGTATTTTTCATCTTCTCCCTCAAATCAAAATGACCCAAGGCCATAGTCAGTCCATCATTCTTGAAAGTGTAAGTATTTTTGAAGTCATCATGTTGTGTGTTCCTATCAAATTGCCACGGTCTCCCCAACAAGATATGGCACGCATCTATTAGAATCACATCGGTATACTTTTTATTGATAGAAAATTGCACTAAACACCTCTTGTTCACCTTCACCCCACTTCATTTCTTTAGCCAAGAAAGCTTGTACGGTTGTGGGTGTTCCACCATTTTCAGTCTTAACTATTCGACCATGGTATTAGAGACTAAATTCTCGTAGCTCCCTCTATAAATGATCATATCACACACCTTACAGCTGCTGGTGCACTTGGCGCAGAATATATTGTGTCAGAGCCATAAGTCATTGATGTGCCTCTGGCATGTTATATTTTTCAAGTCAAAAATAATAAGAATTTAGTCATAAAAGAGAATTTTCTGTATATTAATCATTTTTATTATTTAGTTTTTTTATTTCAGTTTATTTTTTATTTTTTATATTATTTTACAGGTTAAAGCAAGAAGAAATAGGAAATTGAGGAAAAATTCAAAAAGGAAAGTGCGCTACCCGCGCGGAAGGTGGTGCTACCCGCGCAGGAAAGCAACGCAGTGCAAATTCCAGAACTACAGCGCGGGTTCAGCGCCACTGTGGCGTTACTCGCACGAACTTCAGCATTGCAGTATTGTTTCCAGAGAGTTGGCGCGGTTGCAGCGCCAACTTGGCGCTACCTGCGCGAACTTCTGCGGAAGTCAACTTCTGATCGTTTAAAGGACGCGGGCACATCGAAATAGGGGCATTTTTAGTACGACAAAGGAGATATTTTCTAGCATATTTTGAACTTCGTTTGGGTCACAAACCCTATGTGAAACCTTTTTACGGTGGATTGATTATTTTCCCTCATTTATTTTAATATATTTTATTTTTACCCTGTGCGTATTGTTTATTATTTCTGTTAGACTTGATCAACCTAATAGGAGAAAATAATTTGGGAATTAGTATTCGTAATAGGAATATTGGGGTTTTGATTTCTGAAAGGGGGTAAAGTGACAATTTATGCATGCTCTAGGGATAGACTTGTGTGAGCTGCAGTCGTTTAATTTATCATGGTTAATGATTAATTTCATGCGAGATTGCAAAGGAATTAGGGTTCTAATTGGATTGAAGGGTTAGATTACCAAGGGATTGAGATTTAACTAATTATGTTTAGATGATAATTTGTCTGAGTTATTAAAATTAATGAA